AATCTGAAAATGCTGAAAGTATCCTTTGGGACTAACTGAGAAATTCAATATATCATTAATATAGGCCATAGCAGATCCTTCCATTCCAATTATCACTATTGACACAAGTTACTGGAAAACTCCACATGCATTATCCGATCTGAAGGGTGTCACTCAAAGCTGATATAAAAGATTCATGTAACATGGAAAGGCATTTTTTTTTCCTTCATCCAAAGCCACATAACCAATCAATGCTAGAAAAAAACAGGTAGTCTTGTTTAGCAAGGTTTGAATGTCACAAGCCAGGGGTTAATTTGAGAGCCCTCATAATGTATGCACTTTTGTTCTGTTTTCTGACAAACATAATATGAAAACTCCATGATGATCACAAGCGTTCAATTATTTTTGCTTCTAATATGTCCTGCACTACTACCAGTTCTCTCTTATATATTGGCATGTGGTCTGGATTTTTAATAATCTGAAAGAAGCTTTTTTTTTTTCTCCTATCAGCAAGAGTGACACTAACCCCCAGGAAAATGGTTCCTATCTCCTTGGGCTAATGTTTTTCATTGACATGAAGTGGAAAGATTATATTGAATCAATGGCTATGTCTGCTGCTAAGAAAGTTGGTTCACTGTCAGGCTAGACAATTTTTATCTCCAGAGTATCTTACATATTCATAAGACTGCCATTTGTCTGTGCATTGAATATTGTTGTCACATCTGTTCTGGTGCTTCTATGTATTTAGAGATCTTACTTACTATAAAACGCAGATTGTGTGTGTGTGTGTGTGTATGTTTATATATTGGATCGGATTTCCTACATTTTCCAACAAAACTTCACAGGACTGCGTAAAATTACCTTGCGGTGGTTCTGACAGCGCCAAAAATTGGAAAAACAATTGTTTTTGCACGAAATCAATTTGAAAACACGATTAAGTCACCAGAATGAAAGGGGGTCAACTCATATCGAGTTATACTTATTATAAAACCCAGGTTGGTTGTGTGTGTGTGTGTTCCTTTATATATGGGATTGGATTTCCTACATTTTTCAACCGATTTCAACAAAACTTCACTTTTTTGGCAGGTAGCGTTTCTTATTGTCTTGCACACTTTTTTCTTTATTTTTACATTCAGAATGCTTTAAAAATTCCATTTACAAGACAATTGTTTATAATAAAATTCTGTTCAAATGATAGACTCATAACGATTGAAAACAATGTTTTTGTTTGAGTTTGACCAATTCGTTAAAAAAAAAAAAAAAAAAAAAAATAATTAAGACATGCGTGTCCATCAACCTTAAACAATAATCTTTGTCAATTTTATTTTTCAGTCTTTATGATGGTTGATACTTGATCTGTCTCTTACTGCTACATCCCCTGGCAACGCCGGGCTCTACTGCTAGTTTTTGATGAAACACAAAGAAGAATCTGCAATGTTTTTGGTCCTGACTTGGCATAAGTTACTTTCCTACCACCATAATATAGCTTCTCTATGCCTTTTCTACAAATATTTTCATGGTAATTTTTCTGATAAGCTTTCCCCTATGGTACCTATAGACTTTATGAATTTAAGCACAGTACTAGATTAAAAGCTGGGTCTAATTATTTCTTTTCACACACTTCTCATTTGTGAAGCTCTCTTCTGGTTTTTTGCTTTCCAGTCAACTTTGATCTTCAAAAAATTAAATGCAGTGTCAGTCTGTATTATCTGTCTTCTTAATTCCTGTTCTTTTATTGTTCTCTTTCCTTAATAATGTTTTTCTTTTTCTCCTATTCTCCCACACCTAGTAACTGCTTGTATCTTAGTGGCTTTTATTGCCTTGCTTGGGGTAAAATAAAGAAAAAAAAAACTTAGCTAATTGGGTTGCCTATTTCAATTTTCATTGTGTGGGTTTAACCTACCTCTTTATCTGTGATTCAATTGAAAGGATCATTTGTGTTTCCATCTTTCAGATATTGTTTTGATACTTTCTTTAACCTTTAGTACACTGCATTATTAATATTACTTCCCTTTCCACTGCATTCTTTTTCAAGGCTTCTCAATTACAGTATCCTTATTGTTAATTTTACTCAAAGTTGTTTACTGTTGCCATAGCAGGATATGACAAAACTACTATGAAATTCAAACTTACTATGTTTCAGGAATCAGAGTCACCTTCAGTGGCAGGATAAACTATTTGTACAGCAAGTGAAATCACATACATAATGATAATGGTTAAAACTGGCATTTTCATTCTCAAAAGGAAAATTCTTTTCATGTCTCACCTGGCTTCTAATGTTTACCAATGCCGCACTACCCAACTCCTCCCCTTTTGAGCACCTTCACCATTTTATTAGCAGGATTATCTAACATTATTGGTATTTGATTCAAAACCATCTCCCTCATTCACCACCACCTAACAATTCTTCCATTTGTTGGTGAAATTCAGCTTTTCAGGATTACCTGATACAATGCTTGATATTGTCCCTCCATAGGAATTAATCAGGTAGTATAAATGAGTAACTTAACATTTTCGGCAGATAACAGAGTTAATACTTCACTAACCTCGGTTCCAACTGGTATTTCTTCTGTGCCTATTTTTAGAAGAGTTGAATCAAAATTTATCAGTGCTTTATTTTTCTTAAGCCAGTCACCACCCAATATCATTGGTTGATCTAAAGCAGATGTTTCATATAATCTCTGCATTTTTTCTAGCTTTCTTAATTTCATAGGTAAATATATTGTTCCTGCTACTTTTATTTCCTGCCCACCTGCCTAGGTTACCTTCAAATGGGGTGGGGGTACCTTGCAGCCTACAAACCATTTCCCAGTTTTTTGTAGACTTCCAACAGTATTATAGATACAACTGCACTGGGATTGATTTGTGCTTCTCTTTTTCTCAAACTCTTATTTGGCATATCAACTCTGAACATTGTGTAACAAGCTGATATACACTAACCTCTACTTTCTTATTTCCTTTTGTCCCCCCCCCTTTCTCTACTGCTTCACATTCTCTCTATTTCTCTGCTTATGCCTATTATTTTACACCATTGTTTTTTTTTTCTTCCTTTCTTTGATATTCATGGTGCAATTTCTGCTAAACTGGCCTTTCTCAATACAGACCCAACATAGAAATTGATGACATTTTTTTTAATCTCCCATTTTTCTATATTTTTACAATGATGTACACTGATGTACCCTGTACAAAGTCCGAGGACCACTAGAGATAAAGGACTAAAGAGTAAGAGGCAAAGCTTATGTGGATATGTATGGAAGATAATGGTTACCTCTAGACTTGAACAGATTAAGATTGTTGTGATTGGGAAAGCAACTTCTTGGAAGTCACTTCCACAAGGCAGTGGTTTGTGGTAAGAAGCTGCTTGAGTGAAACATCTTACCAAAGGAAATATGAAGGGAATGGAGATTGTCCGTTACAATGGGCGTGGCAAGATGGATTTTAGCCATGAAAGTTTTTGATCACAATGCCAACAATGCTTTGCTTATAGGTTCCTCAGATTGTTGTGCTTATAAAATCTTTACATTTCCAACAAAATTAGTTGGGCCATCTTCCTTAATTTAGAGATATCTCACTGGAATTTAACCCTTTCGTGGGGGCTTTATTTGAATTTTTACTGTCCTTATTTCTATTTGAGTCAAAAGAATATTATTTCCTCCTATGACCTATCCTGCCATTGTTGACCATTTTATGACAGTTAAGAAGATCCTGCAAGTGTTTTAATTCTCATGTCAACACTGTGGGGTATTTATGCACCACCTTCTTTCTGCAAGTTAACTCAAACAAAGACTCATTTTCTTTCTATCTTATTCCAAGTGACCTCAGTTGAATTTGTGAAACCCTCATATATTTCTGTTAAGTGTTTAAATCATTCCAGTTTACATTGGTCTAATCAAGAGAAAAGAGTACTGAACTGTTCCTGCCCTTTGCAGCTCTTAATGAATTTTGTCTTTTCTCTTAAACCCTATTCCATCATCCATTTACTCAAGCTCATTAAGTATGTTATGCATTGTCTTCCTCTTTCCTTCAGTCTGTCCTGTAAGTATCAGGTTTTCCAGATCCTCCTTCATTATATGCCCCAGAAATTTCAACTGTCTCTTCCAGATGTTAAGTATAAGTTTCCTTTTTGTTTTCATTTTCTCTAAAACCTCATCATTACTCACATGTTTGATTCATGGTATCATCATCATCTTTTTGTAGAAACACATTTCTGTTGCTTCATGTCCTCTTCCTCATTCATTGCAATATAGGAGAACAAATATCACATAACATTTCAGTACTCTTTCTTTGTTTCTAAGTTTTTCTCTCTCTTAATACTTAGCTTAGATTTTGTAATACATCTTTGGCTATCCGAATGTGTCTTCGGATTTCAGTGTTGCACTTTCTGTGCTCAACTAAAGCACTTCTCAGATATTTAAGTTTATTTGTTTGATTTTGGCATCTCTGATTTGTAATTTGCATTTTGGACTTGCCCTGTTGCTACAAACCATATAATCTGTCTTTTTGCATTTGATGCTTAGTCCTTTCTTCTTGCTTTCTTTCATCATCTTCTGTAAGAGGTTTTGCAGTTTTCTTTCCGTGTTTGCTATCAACACTGTGTCATCTGCATATCTATGTTAATATTATGCCCATCAATAATGAATCCTGGTCGGACTTCTAATTCTCTCAGAATTGTTGAATAAGTCTGGTGAGAAGACACATTCTTGTCTTAGACTCCTTTGTATTTTTGTATACCTGCTGAATTTGTTTTCTTTCTGTATGCAGGTGGTTTGCTGCCAGTGTAGGTTCTTGATTATCCTAATATCCTTCACATATATGTCAAATATGTGTTGAAAACGATCTCAGCTTTCAAAGGTTGTTATCAATTTAGATATGATGTGGTGCTTTTATTGTGCTTAGGCAAACTTGGTTTTTCACTTTATTCTTATATATTGAAAGATTTAAAACTTACTATAATTTTTTTTTTTTTTTTTTAATTATTTTATAGAAAAGATTGATATACAACTATTTATTTCATTTTACAGGAATCTTCCACGGGCCATCTGGATTTCCCTTCCAGTGATTATGTCTGTTTATGTATTTGCCAATGTGTCATATTTCACTGTTTTATCACCATCTGAACTGTTGCAATCTGAAGCAGTTGCTGTAGTAAGTAACAAAGAAACGATTGTCTCCCTTATCTCATATGGTCCTAACTCTAGGAAAATGTTAGAATATTCTAAAAATCTGTTTAACTCAGTGTTGTTTTATGGGCTATAAGGAAACAAGAATGACAACATTATGACTAAATTCAGATCTGTAACCAAGAACTGAATAGTGACCTACTTTGCAATTAAAAAAAAAAAAAAAAAAAACGTGGCTACAAGTTGCAAATCACTTCATCTGATGGTCATATCAGCTCAGTACTGGGAACTCACTATTGTTGGAAATGCAAAAGACTGAGGATAGAAAACCATTGAACATAATTTTATAATATTGAAAATGAAAAAAAGTATTAGTTCCTGCTTACAGTGCATTTTGTATTAGTTGCACACCAGATAAAGAGATATCAAATAAATAGTGCATTGGAGCATTTTTTTTTTTTAAACATAAGAAAACAGTAAAAAATGAATATGTAAAATGAAGACTGTCCAATTTTGGAGTGAATTATAGTTTGATGCAATAATGAAAAAATATTGGGTTGGAAGAAAAAATGTCTAATCTAACCTAAACATCAATTTGTAGTTAAATATTTTTTTTTTTATATGTGATGTGACTACTAGTGTGGAATTTATTATCTTAACATAGATTAAAAGGAGTTGAAAATATGGATTAAATCCAACAGAATGATGAAATAAGAGACAAGCTGGAAATCTTTATAAATTTGACAAGTTTTATCACTTTGGAATACCAGGTGTTGTAAGCTTGGATGTGTGGGTGGTGTAATGGATAACAGAATTGGGAATTGGAGAGTAGAGTTCCAATTGGGTTCATTATATTCACTTACATACAAATACCCTTAGGAAAGGGTATGAATCCACCTCTTCTCTCCCCAGCTGTAGGTTAAAAAAAAAAAAAAAAAAAAAAATCAAATAATTGACATATTTTTCTATTTATTTAGCTTCATTAGAAATTTTGGAGTGGAATGATTTGGAGTTATAAAAATTCAAACTTAGTGGCTTTAAAAACTACTTATTACCAATTCTTTAAATTGCTTTCCAAAATGATCAAATTTTGAAATATTCCTGTAATCTCACTGCATACAATAAATGCAATGATAACGGAATTCTGATACTAAATTAATTCAGTCTAATTATGCTTATTTTGTACACAAAACAAGAAGAAAATTGAACATTTATTTTTGAAGTTAAAATCATGTTACAGTATTCCTGACATACTTAAGAATTCAACATTTTGCTTTTTTCAGACATTTGCCCAGCGGACTTTGGGGGTAATGGCTTGGGTGATGCCACTCTTTGTGGCATGTTCAACATTTGGTGGCCTTAATGGTGCTATCTTCACTGGCTCTAGGTAAGATGACAATGTCACATGATACCACATTAAAGAACAAGAAATATTAAAAGAATAACAAAAAGAAATAAGAACATAACAAGGAAATAAAAATGAATTGCAGAAATAACAAAATTGTATTCATAAATCACATCATTATATAATTAATTAGAAAGTAATCAATCCACTCTTGGAATTAAAAAAAAAAAATTATTTATCCATTGATAATCCAAATGACTGTATCAAAGGGAAGTAAAAAAAAATAACACTGACTTATGCAGCAGCTGCTGCTGCTGCTACTACATTAAGGAACAAATGAAAGCAAACTTGATCATTGAAAACTATATATATATATATATAATTTAGGTTTATGGTTAGGGTCAGCGTTGCAAGTGTTGACAAAAGATTAAATGATTTTTGCTCATAATTATAAAAATAAAAACAATATACGCAGCTAATAAGAATTCAGCAATTTTTTTTTGTTTGTTCTTGGCCTTCTCTTACTTGATTTAAATCTGAAAAAAAAAAGTTATTTTGTCTGAGGAACTACTTGAATGTTAATGATACTCCTCAAAACTATAGAAAATAAATGGTAAAATATTCCTTACTTGTGGGGTTATTTTATATCTTATCTAGAACTGTGACCCAGTTATTCCCAAAAGTCCTCCTGTTACTCTTTTTTTTTTTAATACAGGGTCTTTACATATTTCCTTTGAATATATATATATATATATATATATATATATATATTTTTAGTGGGTAGCATATGTTGAAATACCTTTTTAATACGCAAAATCTTATATTGTCCACCATTTTCTGTTCAGCTGCAATTGCCCACCAGTGGGCGATATCATCCATGTTGGGAAACCTTGGTCTAGATTCTTTGTATTCTTTTACAGAAAAGTTTGTTTATTTTTGAGAAATAAGGTTGTATAAACATTTATAAAATCTTTTTTAATCTGTGTGCACATGCACACACTATATATATATATATATATATATATATATATATATATATAATATATATATATATATATATAAAAAAAAAAAAAACAGAGATTCATTTCAGTTATAATTTATTTTCTTAATATTGTTATAGTCATCTCTTCAGACCAAAAGTTCTTAAAATGGAGACAATTCATCTGGACTGATATAATAGGAGGAAGGGAAAGCAAAAGAGAAGAGAAGGGGGAGAGGAAGAAAGAAAAGTAAACAGATTCTCGAATATAAAATTTTTAAAACATAAAATGATATATATATAAAAGTGGACCCTAAGGTCAATACCGAAAGCTTACAGCCTGTTTCATGCTTGAACACAATCTTCAGACCAGATTGCATTGTATGAAACAGACTGTCGACTCTTGGTGTTGACCTCAGTGTCCACTTTTATATTTACAAACTCACTATCCCAGATATTGAGCACTTTTGCCTATAAGTATATTGAAAGTGAATCATTTATAGAGAAATTTTATTTATTGGTTTGCAGCAGGTTATTTTGGCCAATTTAAAGAGTGGATAATTCTTTTTTTCCATCATAAAAATTATGCCCCCACCCCCTCCACCAGCTTTAGATGGTTATATCCAACTTTAAAATATATAACAAGAATTTGAATACCTAAACTCTTAAGCAGTTCCTTGAATCAATTAGCAAGCATTTATCAAGTAGATGAGTTTAGAAAAAAGTAAATACAAATATTTGTTCCTCTTGTTCTTTGTTGGGACCAGTTAATAAATTTAATGATTTCAATTTTTAGATCTTTACTGTTGATAGCTTCATTGCTTGTGATATGATAATTGATATGTACATGGAATTGTACTAAATTTCAATAAGTGACAAATCAACCTATGAAAAAATGTGGTACATGTGTACAGAATACAAATATTAGTAAATAATTCCAAAATATGATAGAGCACTCACTGCAAGGAAAGATGTAAAATTCTAGAACCCATCATTATACAAAAGAAACTATCCATTAAATAAAATATATTTCATCCCAGGATAAAATATTTCATATGTATACAAAATATGTATAAAGATTTCATATTCTTTTCTGTGTAATCATTTTACACATGATATCACTTTGGACTATTTTGATTCCTATCACTCAAAAAGAAATAAACAAATAATAAAATGCCAGGAAGTAGCCAACAAAATCTTGTCTACAATATTGACAATGCCTAGTTCTTGATGATGGCTGAAATTATTTGAACAAAATAGAACAAAACATGAACTTTTGAACAATTTATTCACAATTTAAATCCCAATATACAACTTATTCATAAATTGGAAAAATAAAATAATGTATATTGAATTTAACACAATAATAGAACAAAGTAAAAGAGTTCTCAATCATACACTTCACAGTTTAGTGTTGGTGTCATTTGACTGGAGTAAGAGACAAAAAAAAGAAAAGGATGGAGTTGAGGCAATAAAAATCTTTAACAGGTGCCATAATCAAAGGATTAGTGATTACTGACAAATGATGAGATTCTAACCCAGTTTCTCATGATTGGAAAGTGAATGCTCCAACCACTTGACCATGCATTCATATTATATATATCTAAACTGGTACTACAGAATCACAAAGAACAGTACCAAATAACAGAAACAACATCACTTGAGGCAACAGCTGAAATGGATAGCACATGTAACTTGAAGAGAAAATAACAACATCAAGATATTAACATTCCACATTGCTTGAAATGAAAGGGTAAGAAGAAAACCCCTGTCAGTACTGGAAAGTGCAATAATAGTTACTGTGTAGAGAAGTCATGAGCAAACCAAGGTCCATTTGATCTTTCTGAATGGCATGTGTAATTTCATAAGGAAAATAATGTTTCTTAAAATTGCTTTGTTTTGTTCTTCTATACTTACACACTTACACCTAACAACATACATAAACAATGAATAAGTATGTTTCTTGAATTTTCTGAAAGTAATACTTTTATCATTTCAGACCATTACCAATTTTCACTAAGGAAGATCATACATGTAAACATCTTTTGCTTTTGAAACATGAAATATTCATAATTTTTTCTCTGTAGAAGAAATATACTTTTTATTTTCAAATGAATAAACTGGAAATAAAATTACATGCAGCAAAATGTATTAATCCTCAGTCATAAGTGATAATATTGTACCAAAAACTTCAACTTTTTAATTATAGAAAAATCTTTTCTCCAAAGAAAAACAAATTCCCCATTTCTAAGGCATATGCTTACACATAGGGTCTCCTGTAGTGAAAATAACTGAGGTATCTACTATGAAAAATTATCTTGAATCTTTTTAATAGTGTGGTCAACCTTGTGATGAGCCATAGATCATGTGGGCCACTGCTCGAAAAAGGTTGCCCATGCCTGGTAAAATGTAATTGGCAGAAATGCCCAACAAACAAAATTAACAAAGTTTGCAATAAACAATAACAAGAGAAAGAAAAGAAAACAGGCCAAAAGATAATATTAAGCAAGAAAACAATATATGAAAGACAAAAGTAGACAAAGTAACAGTAATAAGACAAAAAGTTCAAAGTAAAAATAGTGTTAATACACAAAAGGGATACAGACAAGTATTCTGACTTCAAGACAAGAAAGAACAAAACTAAGTCAGATGAGACTGAGAAGTGGCATATCTTATTGGCTAAGAAGAAATCCCAGCATGCATCTCTATATTTTGTCTATAAATTTGGGGAGGGAGATGTTTTTGCAGTCATTCTTACACAAAATTGGACTTGAGAAACCTATTTTCTTAAAAAATTGTTTCAAGAGAAAGGTTTCATGAATTTCAACCAACAGCAGTACTAATTGCTCAAATTAATGAATGCTGAATGTTTCCTTGTAAATAAAAGGCTAATATTACCATATATATATATATATATATATTTCATAAAAAGATTAGAGGAAATATGACATGTCTGTAATTTGAATGATTAGTGCAAAGAACCTGGCATTCCATATGTCTGGTCAAATGTAATAGCATTAAAGATTTTAAGAGACTTTGTAGAATTTTATATTACAATTTTTGAGATGAATTATGACTGTTATATAACTTTCTACTCAGTTCCTTATTCTCATTTTGTTAGGTTCAACACTTCAGCTGTTGGACTCCTCTACCTTCTTCAAGTGTCTATCGCACTTTCTGGAATTTGAATAAATGGTTCAGTTCAAGATTCTGAGGTTTACGGAGTACAACAACTGAAATGGTTGAGCATAACAATCAAGATGAGCATGCTAGTCTAGTCTGAAAAGAAAGGCAGATAACTATAGCCAAACTATAGTTTTCAAAAAGTACTTCATTATACAAAACATTTCTTTTTAGGAGGGTTTCAAAAGCAGATAACAAATATACATCATTAAGACTTAAGAATTTATTCATAACTTTTTCTCTTTCTAACAGGCTGTGTTTTGTAGGAGCTCGTCAGAAACATTTTCCCGAATTTTTAGCAATGATAAATGTGAAAAAATTCACTCCAGTGCCTGCCTTAGTGTTTGGTGTAAGTACTCTTGAATTATATTTTTTTTTTGTTCATTCCCAGAATGAATCTCAAGCACAAGAAATATATACAATTATATAAGGAAAATATCTTCACAAATGTTTAAAGATTTTATTCCTGTCAATATTTTAATTGGTACATTTGATAAAATTCAATACTTTACCTTTCTTCAAAATAACTATTTAAAATATTATTAGAGTTATGATGAAAATTTAAGGAATTATAAATAGACAAAAAAATTAAAACTATTTTGGTAAATGACCTAATGACATTGCAAAAAGGTTCTGAGAAATAAAAATAAAAAATAAAAAATGGTGATTTAACAAAAAGGTTTGAAAAGAAGTTATTTAATGTTAACAAAACCAAACCTCATTCTGTAACACTTGTTATAATTAACTGTAGATGAAATGTAATCAATTCTAAATTATAAAAACTTGTACAAAATAAAGAGGAAGGAAAGGCTTTCATGCAAAACAGCTATTTGTAAATCAAGTTTTATGAAACTATGTAACAATAATTGTTCTTTCATCAAATTCTCTTGTAATGAATGCATTCCCACACCCACCCTCCAAAAATAGAGAGAAATATCAGTTTAAATGAGAATCTGAATAATAAACCCAAAATTATATACATAAAACATAGTAAATTCATATTTATAAGACATCATTTCTCTATGAAGCAAGTTCAATACTTTGCAATTGATTTATTTATCAATAATATAAACCTGGTGGAAATTCACTAAAAATGACTTCTGCAAGAAAGACATCACTTTCCATGAGTAAAGGTATAAAAGTAGATGACAATAATTGGAAAACTGCCATGGTCTGTTTACCGTTCAGATGTTGGAAATGATTCAGAGTGTCTGTAGGTTATACTATATCAGAACAGTAATCAAAAACTGGAAATATCTACGACCAAACCTCTATTAAATAAGAATATCGATGAAAAACTGCATTCTCAACATTCCATGTATTTGTGGGAATACAAAAGTAAGACTGGTTATCCTATGAAAGTGAAGCTGGGAAAAAAATGAAAAGCCATAGACTGTAGAGACATAATGAAGTCAGGTATTAATGATCATGTGCAGAGACAAAGGGATGAGTGGTAAGTTTTGAGATTATATATATATATAGAGAGAGAGAAAATATAGAAATTGAAAGAACATCACACATGCTAGGAACTGATAACCTACTCAGTAGACCTAATATAGAATTGAACACCATATAGGAAACTTTGAAGACCAGGCATTAGATTTAAGGTGCTGTTGGTTAAGTGAATGCAGATCCTTCTTTGTATTTTATCAAGAATCTCTAATACATAGCAGAGGCACTAGACTATATGTGGCAGCAAATATTCAATGCATGGATGAATAGTGGATTTATGGATTCTGGGAAGAAAAATAATTGTCGAGCTCGACACAGCGAACCAGCTGTCCTAGCAATTGATATATTTCCACTTCATGTCAGCAGAAAATGTTAGCCAAAGAAGGTGCAAATGAGTCACTCTCCTGGAGATTAGCATTAGTCATGCTGATGGAAGGTAAGAAAGATTTTCTCAGATGATTAAAAGAGAGCAGTTTTATTTTGGAGATGTTAAAATTAACAAGTTATCTCTTGCCCCAGTTAAGAACAGATTATAGGTCATTTTTTAGATCAGTTGCCAATTTGACTGTATTGAACCAATCAGATTTACCATTTAGTTAATTGTTACCAATGTGTAACAATTTGTTTTTGTCTATCATAAAGTCTGTAATATTGTTTCCAGATTTTCTTTAACAAGTTATATAAAAAGTTCCAGAGTGCTAATTCTTTGTAATAAACAATTAGTGATATCAGTTTTCCATTGGTAGGAATTAATTTGTTTCTTTCAGTTTATTTATTAAGGCTCATTTCAGCTCTTAATCACGTAATCTTGTTCACAGCGTCAATGATTTTACCCTTAGTGATATTAACCATAACTGCTTCTCAGTTTTCAGTAAAATTGGTAAAGAGTATGCCAACCTGTTCCACAATACTCTCGCTTGCATTGTTTGTCAGTTTAAGTCTCAAAGACATTAATCTGTTTTATTATTAGTTTTGTAATTATAAAAGCAATCCTAATCAGTAATGACTAAACCACTGTATTTGCTGAGGATGGAAACTTAGTCTTTTATTGTCTTAAGTTTATTTTACAATTGTTGTAATTTACTTTCCATTATTGTCCAGCTTAGGAAATTTTCTCATCTGAGGTTACCATAAACTTGTCCAATTACTTGTTGGCACATCCATAAAAACTAAGGAATTTTTGTTTCAAATTTTTCCTCTGTCTGATGCTAGAGTAATATGGTGATTGAATCACCAAATGTTGAATATCCTGTAAGGAACTCTAGGATGGTCAAAGTGAGAGTCACCTTTATTACCATTGGTGATTTCCCGTCACTGATGTTTGGCCAGATTTTTGGAAATGGATACAGCTGAGGATTTTTCAGAACTTCCTCATATGGACAGGCACAAAATCTATGACAGATTTACTATCATTTGATTAATTGCCTCCTCTAAAGTTAAAATTACCTGATATACCAACTGAGCAAACTGAAATTTTGTTGTTTCTCAGCTTCATTGACTGGGATGAGATTTCAAAGCCTTATACAGAAATGAATTGACCTGCTTTCTTTCAATACAATGAATTTACAGTAATTACTCAAGTAAGAATTTTTGTAGCTTTCCTAAGACATTAATATTTCTTCTGTTTCAGGGTTTTATGACATGTGTTTATTTGTGTATTGGCAATGTGTACAAACTCATGAACTACATGGCTTTTGTTGAAGGAATCTTTTTTGGATTTACTATCACAGGGCTAATTATTCTTCGAATTACTCGACCTAAAATGAAACGACCCATCAAAGTAAGTTTTTTTTTCTTTCTTTAATGTTTAAAAGAAAAACAAAATCACATATGTTTACTTTTCCTGTTGGGAAACATTTTAAAAATTATCTTATAAGGTATTGTTTAGATATTTTGTGGTGTTAGGGAAAGAAGACAAAAGGAATTGATTATAAAACCAACAATAATTGAATATAAAAGATATATAAAAATACAAGCCTAATATTCTCACCAAACTGTCAACTCTGTGTCTTGTTAACCATAATAATTATCTTAGTGGGGGATATGCAAACTGATATCTCTCTGTCCATCAGTGAAATGGTCACATTGTATTCCTTTGGCTGACTACATATAAATAACAGAGTTAATGTCATTAAACAGTTGAAGACTCAATCCTATTCAATTCCAACTTGGGTGTTGTCATGTGTGCGACAAAAGAAATAAGATAAAGAGAAGTAAAAGGAACACCAAAAGACCAACTAAGTTTTTATAGTAAACAAATAAAATGTTTTATTATAATTTTAATGATTATGGTCAGTGGCTAAAAAGGGAAAAAAACATGAATGCTTAGATATATTTCAAAATAACCTCATAATCTTTAAAAAAGTACTTTAATTTTGTATAAAATATGATTTTTATATCAATATTTTTTTCAGCTTGGAACAAATTAATTTAATTTCTAATATTTTAAATGGGGAAAATTGTTTTGACATACAAAATTTCCAGTTACGAATCCACACCTGGAACAGATTAAATTCATACAGTGAGGTTCCACTACACACATTTTTATATATATATATATATATATATATATATATATATATATATATATATATATATAAAATATATATATCTCCCCAATAAAATGAGAACGAATAGGGTACAATGCCAATATTAGTAACAATTTAAAAGAGGGCTCAATACAAAGTAGAGCAATATTCTTTATTTTAGGATATTATATCAAAAACATGTAAAAATAAAATGCTACACAATTGCAGTCGTGTTTCGATGTAAATCAACGCATCTCATCAGGGGATTGTAAATGATTGGTAAGTGAATGATTTATTGAAATTTAAAAGCAAAATTCAACCTCTTTTTACGAGAAAAAGAAAGGAAAGAAAGAAAAGGCAGGAGGTGGTTAAGTAGATTTTCTTGATATTATGTTAGATCTAGTTAACGACAATTTTCAACCTTATACGAAAAATAATGCCAACCCAATTTATATTCATCCCACTTCCAACAACCCTTAATTTGTAATTCAACATATTCCTTTGTCTGTAGAGTGTAGGATTAGCAACCACTCATTGGACAAAGATGTGTATGATAAATATAGTAGTGTGTACTAAAGTTCTAAAGAATAGTGGTTATAAGTGTACTAAAATCATGTTTAGAAAATATGAACATAATGATCCAATGAAAAGAAATAGAAAGATCATTTGTTACACACCGCCATTTAACCAATTAGTTAGTACTAAGTTAGTCCATAAGTTCCTCCAATTGATCAAACGTTTTCTTAAAAGTAACCCACTTAGCAAGTTCATTTCCTGACATAGTGATTTTAATTGCTTCCCATAGGTCTGCTTTGCTGTCATATTGTTTGCCACCTTCATATAATTTCATCTTCACAACTGACCATAAATTTTTCAATTGGATTCAGGTTGAGAACTCTCCTGTAAACCTTTTATACTCAAAACATTTACAAGTAACTTTAGATACATGAGAAGGATGCATAAATGCATGTTTCACTTTGAAACTGCAAGGCTGGAACTTGTACTATTCAAAGAAAGTCTTGTCCATGAAATCACAATAGTTAGCACTATTCTGTTTAATTCCTTCATGAACTTTGAATTGTCGAACAATGGCTTGATCAACAAATTCAGCCCATATCATAAGAGGAGATTTCTTGATAGACCTAATTTGTGAAGCATTCTACAATTTTTGTTCTTGACTGGTTAAAAGTAGTTGTTCCATTATAACTCAATTTAGTTTACATTCCTCTCAAGGCAACAAGTTCTTAAAGTCTTTTCCTTTGCTTCTAATTGTCAACTTAGTTATATATTCAACAACCCTCTTTATTGTTTGATGATCTCTGTGAAACTCCACTTATATTCCCAATGTGGACATTCACTCACTCAATAACTTTGTTATTTCCTGTTTTTCAGCATTTGTTAGATCTTTTCTGTTACCTGTGTTTCAACATATGGGGGAGGGGGGTATTGGATTTTAGGCCTTAAACTACTATTAGTTTTAATCTGCATAATAACTTCAGACTGCAGTTTTTATAATAAATTCAATATCCTTTAATAATACATGTTGAAACTACCTAAAAATTTAGCTTAAACTTTGTTTTGATTTCTAAATTAATCGTTTAAAATTGAAAAAATTGCTCAAAGCAAATTCAAGTTATTGAGGTTTAGGTGATTTGCATAAGTACTTAAGACAGACTGTGTGTGTGTATATATATATATATATATATATTTGGGGGTGGGGAAGATGTATGACAAAGTGGAAAAAGATTTTGTGACAGGTTTCATCCTTTAGAACTTTATCAGACTAAGTTTATTTACACTGATGTGACTACACATGCGTATGAACAAGATTAATCTATACTATGATTTGTTTTCATTTTTAATTAGTTTCCTAATTGCCTTGTTATTTTTGTGTTTCAGTAATTATTTTTTGTTCATTTATTTTTTCATGTGTCAGTAGCTGATCTTGTAGATCAACTAAACAAAGTTGAACATACAATAGAATTTATATATGAAATGGAAAAGAACAATACATTACTTTTCCTAGTTATCATGCTACACTGTTAACAGTAGATTAAAACTTATAAAAAGGATCTCAAATTTCTATTCCCATCATATTCCCAAAATAAAATCTAATAATCATTGGATTTTATTTAAGAGTACTCAGAATTTTCAGCCGTCAATATTTATATGAGGAGAAATACATTGAAAACACTTTCAAGATCCTCCAATACCCTATTTCAATGCAAAACAAAATTGTTCAGGATCCATTAACAGTTGTGCTAGAACAAAGTCACAAGTCCTTGTGATTGAGTGTACTGGCCTTGTTCAACTACAGATCATGCTAGATTATACGCTCTCTCCCAGCAACTAATGTTTGCTCAACATCATTGCAGTACAGGTTGGGTTTATGGGCTTTGAAGAAACAAATATATCTGAGCAAGCATCTGCAACAAGGATTAGCTAAGCACTCTCCATTATCTTGAAGACTTCTAAGTTAAAAATTTATCAGCCCCTGGTGGCCATTGTTTGTACTACAAATATAAACAGTTTTGTTTAAGATTTTTTTTCTGATGAGAAAGTCATTTGGGAATCACAGCTTTGGTTTCGATGAAAGATTTAGTTTTACTAATCTGATGGACACAAAGTAAGGATCAAGTTTCACATACTTCTCACAAAAAGCTTAAAGTTTTGAAAGTTTAAAAAATAGAAATACTATAAACATGCATTGGGTATCCATTAATAAGCACAGAAAATTATGCAATGAGAAGTAGATGGGCAAAAAAAAAAAAAAAAAAATGTAAAAAAAAAACGGAAGACATTAGGTAAATTATTGTAAGATTCTTTTAAAAGTAAAGCATAATGATGCAAATTATTTTTTCATGGTGATGTAAAGGTGTACAACTTTGAATTACCTGGAATTTAGTGTTTATAAATTTGAGAAGAGTTATTAAAATATTTAATACAAGCTTAAAAGCTGCCCTGTTGGATGGCATTTAAGCTAGCTCAGTCTACCCCCATTCCAAATACCTGAAGAAGGCCGGAGCATATAACAGCAGAAACATTGTGATGAATATGGCAACAAAAATGAGGACAACAGTTTGAATAATGTGTGTGTGTATATAAAGATTTTGCTGTGTTGTATCTAGCACTTTTTAAAAAAGTAAATGCTAAGAATCGTGGATTCTCAATGTCTGTTCTTTCTCTTATTTATATATATATATATATATATATATATATATATATATATATATATATATATAAAAAATGATGGACTCTCCCATCCTTTTCAACATATGAGTGTCTTTCAGTTCAGTTTTTTATGTTTAGTATGGGATTTGCAAACAAGTCCACATGAGGGACATGCTGAAGTGTTTACCATCATATAGGCCAATATATTGGCCCAAAATTTAATTCTCTCTAATTTGAGGTGATTCTTTTCAAAGTTAGTTATACTGCAGTGGTAGGTGTTTCTCCAGTTTGCTCGGTTTTCAACAGCAAGTTTGAATTCCTCTATAGGGATGTTTGCAGCATTTAAATTGTAAATGAGGTTGTCCTTGAAGCATAACCAAGGACGGCCTACATTACGCTTACCATGAAAAAGCATATAAACACACATACGCGCATACACACACAGAATTGAAGGTACTTTGAAAAGAAAAAAAAAGGGGGGGGTGAAATTTTATGTATACTTTGTATTAATTTTTTTTTTTTTATTGTACTTAGCAGTTTGTTTTCTTGATTTCCCATTATTATCTCCACTGTTTCTTTTGTTTTTTTTTTCAGATCAGCATTATTTTCCCAATCTTCTACTTGTGTATTGTAATATTCCTTACTATTATGTCACTGACATCAAGCCCATGGGAATGCTTTGTGAGCATTATAGTCTTATGTTCAGGAATCCCTGTCTATGTTACTGGTGTCATGTGGAAAAGGAAACCAAAACTAATTGTAAACACACTTCGTAAGTATATTACATTTTTTTTTTCTTTTTAAATACTATGTTCCTTCAGGATGTAGGTGATCATGGCTCGCCATAAATTGCATCTTTTTTTTTTTTTTTTTTTTTTTTTTAAATTATCTGTGAAGTGCCAAGATTTATCAAGAAGGATAGCGGAGTTGTTTCCTGTAGCCTTCTCCAGTTTTTAAATCCAGATTACTCCTCCCAGCAAACACTAAAGGGCTTAGTCTACTCTGATGGAAAGATAGATTTGTGCCTTCTATGAAAACAAATGTAACCAACAAGGCCAGAATTTGAACTTGGCTTGTGAATACCACTTTCTGTGCAGTTAACCATTATGATGCCCACAGACATATATTTTAGAGTATAAATGATAGGTCAATGTACAGTAAAATGTTATTCTAAGGATATCTTGTAATAGTAACTTTCAGCCAAAGAAAACATCACACTGTTTCTGCAAGTCAGCAATTTAATTGTGCCTTTTTGTCTTCAACGCCTGGTTGAAATTTTGTTCTACTTAATTTTTGAGTTTTATTATATGAATGATTAATAACAAAATGCCAATTGCAGGACAAGACGCAAAACTTGTAACTCTTACTTCGGTGCAAAATAGACAAAAGAAATATTTTTAATAAAACAAATGTGTATATGAATTCTTTTAGAGTTTTAAAAATATTTGCAAATTCTGTTCACATTTAATTGTAAAGTTTTGGTTTTCTAATAACTTGTTAACTATTTTAAAAAGGAAAACATTTAAAGAAAATGTATTTTCATAATCCTGACATGTGGAAGTAAACAAATATTTTTTATAGTATATTTAATTACTAGTATACAATATTTAAACCTGGTCTACTATATTTAGTATCAGTTCTATAGTTCTTCCAGATTTGAAGAATGGAAAACAATATACTTATTATATTTTATACTTCATCTGTCCCATAATATCTGTTACATTTTCATACACATTTCATATACTAACTGTAACAATTATTACAAGACAGATGTAGTATTATCTTTAGATCAAAAGAATTCAAAGTTCTACCAGGATTCATTATTGGCAGCTGCAATTTTAATTTAAGATATGCAGAGGACAGTTTTGAGAGTAGACACGTGAAGTTAACTACTGGCATTCCTTCAGAAGATAGTAAAAAGAAAGAAAGAAAAAGGGACTAACCAGCAATTGTAAGAAGACAATATATGGCTGTCAACAAAAGGAACAACTCAAGGTGTGAATTATGAGTTGAAGATATCAAAATCAAGCAAGTAAAAAATTTTAATATCTTAAAGTGTTTTAACAGAGGACGGAAAACGTGACAATGAAATTTGAAGCTATATTGGAATAGGAAATAATGCCTTCGAAAAGTTAAGCAAAATATTAAGAAACTGGAAAATTTCATTAGAGACAAAAGAAAAGAAAACCTCCTATAATGCAGTGAATGCTGGATAATCTCCTCACAGATCAATTGAAATATGTAGGGCATATAATGTGAAGAGGGTTTGGAAAATTTAACTCACAGATGATGCTGAAAGCAGAGAACAACTTACTTAATGAGCTTGTGTAAATGGTTGTCAGAACAGGGACTAACAGAGATAGCAAAAAGACAAACACTGATAAGTGCTATAAAAGACAAAGTTGTGGAGAGCTAAGATCACCCATGTCCTGATGGGAAATGGCACATAGATGAACTAAGAGACAAATTATTAAAAGTAGTTTACTGTGAAATTAATTATTGGTGGTGAGGTAGTTATGTAATGTTTGTTAATATGAATTGATTCTGAATTAAAAAAAAAAAAAAAAAAAAAAAAAGCCTTTAAGTAAGTCATAACTATTTTTTTTTCTTTGTAGAAAAACTAACAGTAATTATCCAGAAAATTTCCCTGAGTATCCCTGAACAGCAAGATGCAGATTTTGAATAGAAGATTGTGGAGAAACTAAACTGGACATAAATTACTTGACCAATTTAGAAACCGAATTGACAGCAATTATGAAAGGAAAAAAATGAAAAACACATTTTTGTTTTTAAATTAAAGCATTTTTCTAGTATAATCCACATAAATCCCTTACATGATTTTCTCAGCATTAGTAAGAAACTCTGAAATTTTTATTTAATGTGATATATATTTCTTTTCACAATCTGATGAGTGTATGAAAACATCAAGTCATCATTCATAACTTTGAAGTTGTAAATTTGCCGTGAGTAAATTTTTGCAAAGATCTTACCATAAAAAGTATATGAAACCAATATAAGGGAGGTAACTTTACAGATTTAAAAATCGAAACAACTCTGCATTATTTCACTTTTCAAATTTTAAGCTAAATAAATAGTGAAACGTATTCAATTTATATAAAGGTCTTCCTACCTGTTTATTTAAAAAACAAATTTACTTGTAAATAATCAAGACAGATGGAACAATTTGGCATCGAATATTCAAGTGAATTTCAGAGCTCTCTAACTGCTGAGTGATTACATTAATGGACTCTCTGTCACACACATTTTGGACAGTAGAACAATGTTGAGAAAAATAGAGATAAAAAAAGAAGCTTCCTTCAATTGGTGGAACAGGAAGAAAAGGAAAATGGATTTGCTTAAAATCTGTAATTACAACAACTTTGAATTCAAAACAGTCATCTGACTGGATGTTTGCACTGCTAATGCAACTATGTGTATGTGTGCACACACACATTCACATTAATGTATGGATACATTTATACGCTAATGTATCTTACACACATAGAAATAAAAATTCAAATGCATTGTGCAAGTGTATATGTGTGCATATATGCATAAAAATAATTTTCAGCCACATACACACACACAAATGCATGAGAACACTTTAATAAAACAATTTGAATGTTTTTTTTTTTCTTTTGTTACATGTTCATGTCTGACCTTTTTCATAAGTGTATAATTTTGTATTCCATTCAGGGATCTATGAAACTAATTCAAATGTAGAAATAAATGCCACTGAAAAGTTAAATGCTTGGACCAACCAAGAGGTCCTTTCCAAATTAAAAAAAAAAAAAAATTTTTTGGTCACTAGTTTAGATTTTAGCAAGTTAGATCAAGAAGAATTTTTCAACATTCCTTTTTGTGTGTTAATTTTTCCATTTGCACTATAATTCTACAAGATTACAGAAATAAATAAAAATCTGTAAGGGCTGCATGCTGCTGTTTAACATTTTGGAATGATTGAATAATTGAAAATAATATATGAGGGGGGGGGGTGCTGAAAAATTGAAAAAAGTGATTATTCCGGTTGCAGTGTCTATTATACAACTCCACCTAGATTTACACCAGGAGCAGAGGGAAGAAAAAAAACTTGGAGAGTTGAATTAGAATGGGAAATAACAGAAACTGAAATATCCAGAAAATGCATGGCATGTGGAATTAGAACAATCTACCCCTGTGGACAAAATAAAGGGTTCGGTTCGAAATTCCAACATATATCACCTGAAGAAGGTCAGAATGTACAACGATCGAAACGCCGTGAATATGACAAAGTCGAAGACAACAGTCCGAACAATGTAGTGTAAAAAAAAATTAAATAACTACACCTTACCATCTCAGAAACAAACAAATACCGGCAAAATCTGTCTTCCAATTTTTTCCCCCAGTTTCCGACTAAGCTGTTTTATGTCAGAATTAAAGTTTCCAAAATTAATTTTTTTTTAAATTTGAGTACTTTCAAATGTCACTACAGTCGTTATTTGTAAACAAGTCTTTAAAACACAAGCGTAAAAATTATGGAATCGGAGGCCATAAATCAGGGGACATAATTCGCATGCGCAAAAATGAAAGTGATTTTGTTAATTCACTTAGGCTAAAAAAAAAAAAAAAAAAAGATCGGTTGATTTTTTTCATTTTAGTGACCACAGTTACGTGAAGCAAAAAGTTCACTGTGGCTCGGATCTTGTAGGAATGTGTGCTTCTAATTTCAATGAACAAACAAACAAAAAAAAAAAAAAAGAAAATTGATGATAATTGGAGGTCCAGCAGACAAAAAAAATAGTGAAAAGGGTGACTGATGAAACATTGAAAGAAAATATAACCGGTCTCAATGCTTCATCAACAGCTCTTTGGATGGAATTAAAAGAAATTCTGAAGAATTTAATTACTTTGTAGAATTTGTTTCTTATAGGCTGAGAAGCAGTTACCCAAAGGCGTATTGAACAAGGTTACGATCATTAGTGATGGTTGGTTGGTCCGCTTATAATTGGCTTAAAAAAAAAAAAAAATCCAGGTACATAAATTAACTCACAAATTATGGCCCCGATTTTAGACTTTTTTTTTTTTTTTTTTAACCAAAACAAGAATGTCCAGTCGTTAGCTTACCGGTGTAAAGCGCAAACACAAACAGTATTCCGGCTAATCATAAAAATCAGTTTCATAAACGGTAATAAAAGGAAAACACATACACACAAACAAAACAAAGCCGATACACCAACCCACTCCAAAATAAATTTGTTGGTAAAGTAAGCTAAGAAGGCATTTTTTCCCCAACAAAGTTCTTTATAATAATAATAAAAAAATATTAACATTAATTTAATTACCATCAATTAGTTCATTTGACAAATGATTAGCGTTCGGTTACAGAAATTGTTGTTTATTTTAGTGTTTTTAGTACCTACTATCGTATCGACCAACAACAAATTATTGCTTTTTTTTTTTTTTTTTGACTACGTCATATAACTCAAACTGTTACATAGTTTTTTTTTTTTTTGTGCAATATCGCTTTTCATGGAAAACTAGTTGCGTTAGTCAAAATTTTTGTTTAAGCAGAGGAAAGACCAAAGGATTATAAATTACTTTTTTTTGTGATCCTTTTGAGAACGTTGGAAATTTTGGTTAAAAAAATCTTATTTTTCTTGCGTCAACAGGGAGATGGGAAAAACGTCTTTTTTTCTTTTAACGGTGAAAATTTCATTTATTTGTGAATTAAGTCCTGCAAGAATTTCCACCAATGTTTTTCAGTGAAAAACATTGGTGGAAATTCTTGCAAAGAAATCAAATAATTGTCGGATTTTAATGAAACTTTCAGGACTTAATTCACAAATGAATGAAATTATTTTACAAATGTTTCTTTCTTCGAAAATATTGTTAAATTTTTTTTTTTCTTTTAGTATGTTAATCATTAACATACTAAAAGAAAAAAAATAACAGTTACCTTCCCTCCACGTGTTTAATTTTAAATTTTCGAAATTCATTTTCGTACGATTTTATTTTTATTACTTTTAGTTTTACAATTATACGCAGAACTCCTTGGAGAATAAATCAATTTTTTGTCATGTCAAACGGCACCTCATCCCCCTCCCAGTTACCAAAAAAAAAAGTAAAAAAAATCTATTGTGAATCCTCAAACAAAAAATGCAATAAAACTAAGACATTATTTAATTAGAAAAGCTTTTAATTGCTTTTACGAATAATTACAGACACGATTATTGTCATAAGAAAATAATTCGATAAATAATGAATTTTTACAAGACTTGTTTTCATCTTTTTAAAATTTTAATTAGAATAATTTAGTTTAAATTTCTGTATTAATTTGTTTGTACTAGTTAGGTGATTGTTATTAAGTAAAAACTATATTTACTAATCATAAATGGAAAAGATTATTACAGTTTAGCGACTTCCAATAGTTTTAAAATTTTTTGAAATTTTGTGTATGCCAATTTTTGTAAATATGGACGTCCATATACAAGACATATCAGAAAATAGGAGCCATAAATAAATAACTATATAGTAAATTTAAAACCAAAGTACAATAAAACAATAGATTACGGATAATGTTTTCCTAAATTTTTAAGATTACTGGGTAGTTAAAAAAATTATATATAAAAGGCGCTCACATTATATTCCTCAAGTTATTTGTCCAGATATGTCCTCGTACAAAAAAATTAGATAAACTTCCGTCTCTCAGTCAAGCTATCAAGACACCTATCGCCGCGTTAAAATATATTTCTGCGATATTTTAAACTTAAAGTAAACAATATTTGTTTCAAATCAGATTAAAAATCAGGTAATATTCCCCATGTAACTTTTTAGAAAAAATCTTTTCTTTTTTTTTTTTCTGAAATATTTTTAATAAAGTAAGAATTACATTGATGACAGATGGCTAAAAACAGCGCTTTAAATCTATGATTTTTATTTCAAAACAAACTCCTTCCAGTCAATTTAGTTTTGATTTTTGAAATAGAGCAAAGTATTATTTTATTTTTTTGCTTATTGAATAAGTTAAATTGAAATAATTAGCTTGAAATTTAAAACTAAAATAAAAAGCTTCAATTTTCATTTTTAAAAATAAACCTTCCTTCATAATAGCATTTCTGTGGAGGTCTACTAAATACGCAGATAAACATTTGTATTAATTTCTAATAAAAATAATTTTTATATGCGCGTGTGTATTATTTTTATTACAAAAAAAAAAAAAAATAAAAATAATACACATGCACACATGGGTAAATTATACTTAAATAATGAAAAAATAAAAAATAGTAAGGGGTATATTTTCCTCTCAACTTCTCAGGGTAAAAAAAAAAAGTTTAAATTAAAAATGAAATGGAATGTTTTCGATATTTTAAATTTTTTTAAAAATCTTATTTTATTTTTGTTTCTGTTATTTTTCTCTTCTTAAATTCAATGTTATTGTCGTCTTATGTAATAATGCTACCGAATGTCATGTACAAATAACAGAATATCTTGGATGATACAGGATATAAAGAATGGCTGAAACAAATGAACGAAAGGAGAATTGCGTGACGGTGAAGAAGAGAATAAAAATGTGTTTATATTGTTCTCATACTTACCTACACAGTATCTTTTTAGTCGGTGGACCAGTCAGGGAAAATTTGGAACGAATGTAGTTGTTGTAAATAGAATTACAACTTTTATATCACAATGATACTGGCCACCCATAAG